TTCGATGTCTGAAATCAAGGCTAATGAACACGTAGACAAAATCCTGCTACTCGTGTTCCTAGGCAAAATTCTATAGAAAAATCGGGAACGGGAAATCGCTTGTTCCGCAACAACCTCACAAAAATCGCAAGTCTCCCAGCTCGGTTAGATAACTTGAAACATGTTTTAGTGCGGCACTCTCAACACGACACGCAAGGATGGCACAATTACACAGAAGACAAACACTTTGAGCCCTGAAGATGATCTCAATAAAAGATGGAAACGTTGGCACGATAAAGAAAATGTTTTTCTGAAACCTACATCACACCCGACCGCATCTCACAATATCTGAATAACTATCGATTAACGGTCACTAATCTCTACACGTAATAATTAATTATATCAATAATTTGTTTATATATTCCCCTACTTACAGTATTAAAATTATGCCCCCATTATTATGTGGGAGAGTTTATTTACAGTGCGATGAAATTTATGTTAAATGAAAGAATCAGGACGATAAATTGTAATTTTTATAATACTTAAAAATTGATGAGTGATGCGTCAGGGTTAAAGAAGCGAATTAAATGTTGGTTAAATTTAGTAAATACGCTGTTTTATCTTGTGTCTTTCCTCTTTTTAAAGTTTAATAAAGAAGGAAAGGAGAATCAATTTGTTGGGGTAGTCGATTACCGGGATTCCACCGAGGCTGGAGCATTTTGTCGATTAGTCATAGGTCGGAGTGGGTCGGACTACTTACCGAAAAGGGGCCCGTTTTGCGAACAGGGGTCTTAATAAAGAGATTAGCAGGGCATGGGTGACACTTCATCCGGAATTTAATATCCGCAATCCCTCCTTTCTTCCAGCCACTCTCCCGTCCCCGCCATGGAAGTGACATTGTATCCATTTAGAACTCGCTCGTCCAGCCTACTTTTCATATAAGTCGGAGACGTCTGAGAATTTACGAAATGCCTCGAGGGAAGTCTTTTTCCCCTTTTTGACGGGCTCAGGGTGAATGTAGCTCTTTTGTTTCGCGGAATTACCTCTCCTAAAGAAGAAGACTCATTTATATACCCGTCATTTTCTCAAAGTGGACAAAAGTAGACATAATTTACAGACTTTTTTAACCAAAACTTTTCTTTATTTAAATATTCGCTCGCCGGACTAAGATACTCTTAATAAAAGTGAAAATAGGCTTTTCTCCTTTCCCTGCTATGTTCAGCACAAATGAAATTCAAACGCGACCTAAAATCGTCCACTAACAAAGCTCCTGGAGGGAACCACACTGGGCATATATTGTTCCTACAAATATCTTCTTAGATAAGATAAAGTTTGTCCTACCCACATTTATAACTTTTTCCGGCTAAAGAAATCATGCATTAATCAATGTGATTGCCAAACCTAGGAAGAACTGTGACATCAGTTCTTATCGACTTATCTTACTGTAGATTTGATAGTGCACCACTAGGTATGAAAAGAAATTACTCTGATATAACCCCAGTTTTAAAAAACCGCGAGAAAACAAAACCGAGGATCGAATCGTTGAGGAGAACGCGCATTTTTTTGTTCTATTTTTGTGTTATAATGGGGCTCATATTGGCACAGAAACTGTAACTTGATTAATTCGTATATGGCGTTGTACTATATAGATTATAACCTTCCAATTAATTAAGGTTTTTAGTTGAGATAAAAAAGTCAGTGTCACGAGCGGGATTCGAACCCACGACCTTCGGTTAGATACGCCGCTACTCTACCACCTGAGCTATCGTGAGTTCGATCCACTCGGACACTAACTTCCCATCTCAACCCCACCTTTTGAATTTTCCCTCCTTTTTACCATTTTTCAAGAGATGGGAAGTTAGTGTCCGAGTGGGTCGAGGTCACGATAGCTCAGGTGGTAGAGTAGCGGCGTATCTAGCCGAAGGTCTTGGGTTCGAATCCCGCTCGTGACGCTGTCTTTTTTTATCTCAACTAAAAACCTTAATTAATTGAAAGATATTAATTAAGATAGCGGACCACGAAAACTAGTGAATAGATCATAACTTTTTCATTATCAAACTATTAGCTAGAAAAGAATTATTCAAAAGACTAGATTCGACAGACTAATGCCCGAACTTCCCATCTACATGCTATCTAACAATAGTGGAACCCATGGTACAAGGTAGATACATAGAAAAATATCTGCCTGAGATTCTTTATTCGCCCACACAAAGCAATTTGCAAAGTTTTAAATGGTGGTTTTAATAGAAATAAAAATTATCTCCCTGACGCATTATAAAATAGATATATACTCATTATGTCTACATATAAAATGTATATAGCATATATTATGGCGCCATATCATGTGTTCCCCAGCAACATGTACTAGGGCCCATCCTTTGTATTATGAATACTCTAACGATTCCCCAGAAGTGGCAGTATTAAAATTATGCACTTACTAATAAAATAACAGCTCTTCAAGATATGATCGGATCCAACTGGGAACATCCCTCTGCTTCTGACTCACAAAATAACTGCAAATCATCTAGCCATATTCTTAATCCAATAAATGAAACACGCAGATATGTTTAAAATATAAGTAGATAGATGTAGAAATGGAAGTAATATTAAGGGTAATATACTGCACTCGTTAAGAGCTAGTGTATCCTCCGTTCAGTACCTAGGTAGCACATCGGTAGTTCATATCAAGAAATTTAATTAGTAGACACGGATTAAATAGTTGAATTTGTTCTACGGTTACGATGTACGTCTCCCTGAGGGCAAGTGTAGCGCCTGTTTGTTAATAGTGATTCTTCTGCTTCCTTGCAGATCTGCACGTGTTGGATTATTCTCATCTTCTTCAATTGCCCATCCAGTCCACTGGGTCTTGCCTGTTGATGATAATACTGCTGGGATATGAAGTTTTTCTTTTAATGTATTCTGTTGCCTATTTTATTCCAAAATTCGCAAGAAGGTTCTAGAATTGTATATGTCCAATGAGTGAATTCCTCTTTCTCCTCATTATCATTTTGTCTTTTTGTCTAAGATACTCATTGATAGTGTGAATCCCTATGCCACAGAAGGGCTCAGGTCCTATCGGGGTATAGCATCCTTCTTCTTGCAAAGGTGTCCGCTCTCCGTTTCTCTATTATCTTACACGTCCCAGGACTCTAGGACTGGCTTTGTTTTGCATAACTAATTTATTTAATTTAGAAATGATGTTTGTAGATCGACCTGCAGATAATCACAGTAGAGTTCAAATCTTCTTTAAGGTCTTTACTAAGTGAAATAAAGACAAAAGTGATGGGATCACCAAGCTTTCGGCAACATTATGTATATTTTTTCTTAATAAATAGGCCCTGATGATGGCAACATAATGTTGCCGAAAGCTTGGTGATCCCAACACTTTTGACTTTGTTTCACCTAGTAAAGACCTTAAAGAAGATTTGTACTCTACATTATTTAATTTAATTTTGCAGTTGAACACCATCTTTGAGTGATGTTTGAACTTAGTACTTTGATTTCTGCCTCGTTATCTGTCGTCATAGCTATATTCTTTTTTTTGTACCTTTGTTCAGATTGAATGGAGTATAACTTGCATGGATGTCAGCATGGAAGATACTGGTGGCTCCTGAGTGTTAGGTTCCAGGACCGACACTCCTTGCCCCCGGAACATCAAGCGTTCTAGATTGATCTATGTATCAGCAGATGCGGGTGTACCGCTAACTTATAATAGTTTATCGCTACAAGGGACAAATTCTTTTTATTATCAATATTAATAATGATAAGAAATAATTAAAATTAATTAAACAAAAATACACTGAAAAGAGTATTCTCGTGTTAAAACATATCACTTATGCATCGTGAAAAGACAATAAAACTAACCAAACCAATACAAGTCGAGCTGGCCTAGATCGAAGTATAAATCACATTTTTGTGAGTTTTTTTATTATCATACGACTCTCCTCTCTATTTTTAAGTAGATATCTGGTTGGTTTTATTATTCTTATACGTTTATGATTTTTCAACCATAGTTATACCAAAGATGTCTCATAGGAAAAGAGAAATGAGAAGCACTAAAAATTACTTAAACGAGGGATAGAGGGAGAAGGAGAGAGAGAAAGAGAACGAGAGATCCAGTTAAGACATCTATTTTAGTTTTATGAAACTGGTCAAAATATTTGTACTTTTTATGTCTTAATGTGTAAAAAAAAAATATTGTACCCAGGGTATATATTTATTGTCGGTTATTGCTACGAAAGCTCAAAACATATTTATTTACGATAATACTGAAATTGATTTTTCACTTCTTCTCTCGCTTATCCATGAAAGCCAATAAGGACAACTCGGACAACCGATGAGAGCCAAGGTGTCACGGATTTGTAGTTATCGCAGAAAGCTGACTTTTTCACGAAACGAAATTTTTCAGAACGAATTGCGGCTTTTCGTTCCCTTTTGCTTGTGCCATGGAACATAAATGCCTTCGGTGAATCTAGCGGAAGATAAAAATTGTCGACAGGTTGGCAGAGGTGGCTTAATGATTGTGTGTTCCTAACGACACGTCCGTTCCAAGGACGTGTTTCCAAGTCGATTGAAGTATTTACCGGAGATGCGTCACCCGCGTTATCTCGTTACCTACCCACAAAACGACGGAAAAATTAAAGTACTGTCGGTGCATGTACACTTTTCAACCTCTACAATTAAAACAATATATATATATATTATTATTATTATTATTATTATTATTATTATTATTATTGTTATTATTAATATTTTGTCAATATTGAGATTTTTCCATCGAAGGGCAACTTGTTTCAATGGTCAAGGGAAAAACTAAGAATGGTCATTAAATTGTTTTTATTTAATTATTTAAATCAATGATCATTATGGTCAATATCATATCTGTATTTTGCAGAGCTACGTGCGGTCGGGCATTATGCATTAACACCAAGTTATTCCCAATGTATGTTAGTGCAGTCAAAGATCTGATGATAATCCGTACGTTACGGCAATGGAACTGTCCTTGAAAAGGCAGTGACTCATGCATGGCACATGCGTTCTTCAGGTACGGTGATCTCATTGCACCAAACCTGCACTCATCTGTTAAAAGAAGAGCCTCTCCAGCCCACCAGTCGCCTTTCTACTCGATGCCTCTGCAGCAGCAGAGGATGCGGCAAATCTAGACACTAGACTATTCTCAAGAAGCCTTCTGATGACTGTTCTAAAGCTCACCCGTTCATTAAGAGCCATTTGAGTTTGACTAGCTATCGAGAAGAGAATGACGGTTCCGTAGAGAGGTAAGAATAATAAAATCATCATCCCTAGCCGTAGTACATCGCGATCGACCACTACCTTTTCTCCGATCGAGAGTTCTTGCAGTAGACCATTGTTCGGGTGCATCGCCGTCAGCGAAGCGCCCGCATTGTGACGTACACTACCCCTCTATCAACAACCCCTATCTTCTCAAAATCCACAAATCACAACACGCTTCCCTCCTTTTTCCTCAAAAATCCGTCCCTTCCTGCTTTTTTTGGCTCTCTTCTCCGCCAGCTCTCGGAGCGTGCACTCTTCTATCGCCCTATCACTCCCCATGTGTTGCACAATAATAATTAACCACCGTGTAAAATCGCAGTTTCTTAAAGTCTCATCGTCACGCGAATCTTTACGGATCCCCCTTCAAATCGCCATAGGATCTTCAACTCCGCGTGCATCCCATCTCCCGACCGCATGGTCACAAACCTATCACCGTCATTTTCCCTTAATATCTCATCTCCCTTTATCCATCTACCATCATATCATAATACCACGAACGAATCATCCATCATTATCCCCGGAAATCATCATCTCACTGACATCGCCGCCTGGATTGCATCTTCTCATTGCCATCGCCACTTGGATTTCTTCATCCATCATCATCATCATAGACTATGCTGGAACCATGCCGGTGCACTGGCCCAGTCATCGGCGAAAAACGCACGATATCGCATTCAGAGACATTCACCGCTTTCAAGCTTTCATCGCTTTCAGGTCTCCAATACGATCATGGTCCATCTTGTAAGCCATAGAAATTTCATTAAACAGTGAGTCTTCAATTACTCCTTTCGTTCATTCATTCCTTTATTTAATTCTTCCTAAACTAACATCTAATCAATCGGGAATCTTCCATTCCCGTTGGTGCCGAAACAATCTTCATATTAATTATATCTCCTATCTTCGGTGGTGTTCGTCGGCGCCATTTTGTATTTGTTCGCTGGCGAACAACCATCGTAGAAGGTAGAACACTGCACACTGTCTTGAGGTAGGTATGCTACGCCCGTCGTTGGCCAAAGCATCTGCCCAAGCAAGATCTTCTTAACTTAAAACCATGCTTTTTACTCAAATTTATTGTCTCCTCAAAGAAAACAATTTAAAAAAATTAACTCACTTAACATTCAATTAATATACACACAAGTTGACTCAGGAAAGGATACTTTGGACTGATTTTCTTTATTTTTAATCTAAAAAGTGTAAAACTTTCAGTAACGCACTGTAATAGTAAACAATAAGTAATTAATTTTATGCTTATGCTTTAAGTCAACTATTAATATTTATACCTAGTTATATGCAAAACTAACTAACAAATAAAAGTTTTTTTGCCTTTAAGCGTACATTATTGATGATTATAACTGCACATTTTGATGTGAGTTTAATCATAAAAAAATGAAGTAAACTTGACATATTTTACTCTGTGATTATGTTTATACCAGGATGTAGAAAATGGCATATTGCTGATTTTCAGTTGAGTAGATCTCGCAGCGGATTCTTTTTATAATGTCCTGGCGTTACAAGTTGGTAGAAAATTTCCCTGTCCGCGGGGCGCAGGAAGTTTCCAGTTCCTCCGGGAGTTTAGTCAGCAGCTGATTATAAAGAGGCAAGGCTCACGGAGCGAGGTGGAGAGAATAAAAAATGACTTCAACTTACTTTTCGGGACTTATCGGATTGGCGCCAAGTGGAGGGTGTAATGATAAAAACACTCAGGGACGCCACCACCCCTGAGGAGATAGTTCCACCTGACCCACCCCCGTCTTCCTATTAAAACTTGGATTTCATTTGTACACAATTGCTTGCCGCGCATTTTAATTTCTCAATAAAAAAAGGTCAAATTACCATCCCTGGAATATCCTCTGGCGATAATGCGGTTCAGAAAATATCTTATCTGCTCAGCTTTATTTCAATGTGGTTTTTATTTAAATTTACCATTTTGCACTAGATTTGCAATTTTATCGAATTGATTCTTTTGTAAACATAAAAATCACTATTTTAAAATTTAAAAAAAAACATCATTCCCTAACAAATATTTCATACGATATTGGGCAAAATTATTTATAAACTATGGACTACCCAGCATATAGTTAGTATGTATTTCTATGAATCCATTACACACCTTTGGAAAATATTATATAAAAGCTTAATTGATTACAAATATCACCCTGTCTGTTTCATCTCTCTCTCTCTCTCTCTCTCTCTCTCTCTCTCTCTCTCTCTCTCTTTCTCATTCAGTGTCAAGGGTCAAAACATTTAATCCACCTGGGCCAAAATAAATTATACTCAACACCATTAATTAAAAGTAATGGCATTGTAAGGGCTTAGCCAGTTTCTTCCGCACAAGGGATAGTGTTTCACAGCCTTTTCTACAAAATATTGCTGATCAGTTGTGTAAGCCGATTTAATACTGTACAAATAGATTAATTGAATTATTATTATTTTATTGGCTGAAAACGTTTGTACAACCATTTATACAATCAAATATCAATAACGTACGTTTTTAAATAACTATCATATAAACAATTTCAAAAATATCTAGATCTAAAATATAAATACACACCATTTTTTCTCACATCCTACATGTATTTGTAAAATTTAAACAATGTTTATTAATCCCAGGCCCTGAAGATGATCTCAATAAAGATCGAAACGTTGGCACGAAAATGTTTTTCTAAAGACTACGTCACACCAGACCGCAACTCACGATCTCCGAATAACAATATAAATACATTCACTAGTTTTCGTGGTCCGCTTGACCAATTAATATCTTTCGATTAATTAACGTCTTTATTTGAGATAGAAAAGTCAATGTCACGAGTGGGATTCGAACCCACGACTTTCGGCTAAATACGCCGCTGCTCTTCCACTTGAGCTATCGTGACCTCGATCCACTCGGACAATAACTTCCCATTTTAAGCCCACCTTTTGACTTTTCCCTCCTTTTTGCCATTTTTATCTGGAAGGTGCCATTTAAGCCGAAGGTCGTGGGTTCGAATCCCGGCTCGTGACTAAAAACCTTAATCTCTCAACTAAAAACCTGAATTAATTGAAAAATATAAATACATTTTTAATTACTATAAATACCATAAATATATAAAATTAATATTTTAGCAATAATAGATTTTTTCACGTAAAATTATTTATTTTAAAAACTTCTCTTCTCCTCTTCATATTTCTTCTTCCAATTGGAAGCCCCGCCTCGGAGATGTAGTGCACTTACTTCTTCATATAGACAGATGTTGGAGTATCGAATGAAATGGACGGAGTAGTAATCTCAGTTTCCTTTACAATCATTTGTGGTACATTCTTCTTCGTTCTCTTATTCTTTGGTCTCTTGTTAATATTGCAATATGTATACTATCCATTTGCCGTTGCTTATTGAGAACCTCATCACGTAGCTCCTACATTGGCACAAGATTGATTTGCTCCCTTTCTGTGTACGAAGACGCTCTTTTTAGTGATTTTAAACTTGCGGTTTTGTTTTACGTTGTGAGGTGTCACCACATGGAGGCTTGTTGTGCTTAGTTATTTCTTTTTCGTCCTTTACTAAATTAGTATAGCTTTACCAGTACCGGACTGTTCTTCCTTACCCCAAACCTATATATCAGAACTTCGCATGTTAGCTGAGTTGTTTTCCTATACAATGGGAATTCCTGGCCATTGTGTTTAGCAATAACCGAGCATTCAACATGTTTATTTTAAGTTAGAGTGGACATTCATTGGTTTCGCCTGAAGTACGTTTATCTAGGTTGATCTTAGGGCTTCTATACTGATTCAAAGACATGTTAAACAATATCGAACAATTGAATTATTAACGTATCTCAATACGTGCTCTTTTATGGTATAATAACACTTTTAAAAGCTTTGAACAAAATAAAATGCCATTTGCGAAAGAGGTTTTACGAATTTAGGAATTTTATTTTACTTCAGTGCCACGGAAATTTTATTTTATTATAACACTTAAAAAACAACTCGTTATTTTAATTGGTACTTGTAACAGTAATATTAGAGATTTTTCCCCCTTTTGAATTTTTTGAGTTTAAATAATAAAGTAGAGTTTTCTACATTGACTATAAATTTTAATTAATTATACTTTTAATCTAAGATTTTGGTTGAGATGGAAAAGCTAGCGTCACGAGTGGGGTTCGAACTCATGACTTTCCGCTCAGTAGACACACCACTGCTCAAACCACTTGAACTATCGTGACTTCGATCTACTCGGGCACCAAACTCATCGCAACCCGTGATGTTTTGAATTTAGTTTCGTTGGATTCACGCCGAACGGTTCCTTTTCTGATTTTTTCATGGAAGCTTTTTAACGGATTCGTCGATGGCCCAGAATTTCTTTCTCACCTTTGCCTTAAAATCTTAGTTTAACAAAACAATAATTACAAGCTCTAATTTGTATTCGTTCCATTTCAGCAGCCTTATACGAGGGGACCACACCAAGCCAGCATACTCCAGAACACTCCTAACCAAAGACAGGTATAGAGTTTTAATTTCGAAGATATTTGTAAAGTCAGATGTCGTTCTTTTTACAAATATAATATTCATATACACTCTTTTGTCACGAAGTGCTAGGGGGTCACCTAAGGACACGTTTAGGTGGGACAAATGCCCCCTTCCATCACAGAAGGTAGGTGAATTAAATTTCGGGCTAATAAAGAGATGGCTCCTGATCTCTGCAGCGGACTGATCCTAGCTTCTCTAACTGGTTAAACCGTAAGTCCTTTTTGTCTTCACCGATTAAGCTCCTCCGTTCGCTCAATTATCAATTATTAATTATTAATTGCCACAAGAATGTTTAAGGCCTATTTATTTTTAGTGTGTATAAATTTTACCATTGAAGTAATAAATTTATTTTTGTTCAAGAAGGTTTTGTTTTACTTTGGCTTTTCATTTTACTTTTCTTTATTTTAATTCCCCCACGTTTTCATCACAGCGCACTCTGCTGATTTCGCTGTACGTGGGCTTTGGAAACTGCGAACCATTTCCCGGACTTAAGGTAAGTTTAGGTAACCGAAGTCCGTCGCAGGATAGAGCAAAGCTGACAATATTAATAATGTAGGAATAGTGGTCATCAGAGGTGAATTGTTGTTAAAGACAAGTTTTAGAATCGTATATATCTCGTACCACCAATGGAATATAACAAAGGACTCGAAACAGGAACCTTCTTTGACGAGATACAAATGTAATAGCATTTATCAATGTTATAGCCTATTAAGAATGCACCAATCGTACAAAGTATAAATGTCCTTCTGTAATATAATAAATCATCAGATGTCGAAACCTTGTAAAAATCTTGAGATCATCAGCCAAGAAAGAAACCTTACAAAACGTTAATGGAGTTGACCACATCGTTGAAGGTATTGAACAAAATAGGCCCTGAATGCGAACCGGAACACCAGATCCAATTTGAACCTCATTCGACAAGAAACCATCAAAGCTTACATGAAAGGATCTTCCTACGAGAAAAAAAAAGAAACCAACTCAAAAGCGGCTTACCACACCGGCCATACACAATTTATGAACCAAATTGCATTTTTAAAATAATGTATATAGAATGTAAGAATTGAAGCTCTGAAAAGTACTCATCCAGCTAAATTAATATAATAAAGGATGGAAATTAGTGTGCGTAAGATAAGACTCATGTGATGTTACGAAAATAACCTAGAGCTACAGTGTCTCTTACACTCTTGCGAATATTACAATTAAGATTTAGTACATACGGTTTAACAAGAATTCAATAAAAATGTATATACATATTCACAAATGTAATAAAACGAATAAATTTTAAATTCGTGAACATGGAATTTTATCATTCTTTCTATTTGTTGGTCTATGTTGCCTGTCCTGAATTGAGATCAGGCTTATCTCTCTTTCAACACGAAATACTGAATATAATATTAATAAATAATTTGTTTATTTTATTTTCAATTTATTACATTATCAGTTATAGTACTCCTCGTAGTTACGACAACTTCTCTCTTGTGTATTTCTTGATAGAGTTTTCTGAGCAAATGGCAGTTAGAGTAAAAACTTTAATGAAACTTTTACAAAAGAAAAACATAAAGTTGCTAAACGAAAGCCATCGTGTTTATCCGACGGTTTAATAGTAAAAAAAAGTAAGTTAAACAGACTAAATACAAACAACAATTGGATGAGAATCCTGTACAAAAACATATACAGTAAGTTTTCAGACCTGACTTTTTATGGACTTATAATTTATCAGAACTTACGAATTACAAATTAGTCTCATGTCATCATCTCGTAGCCTAGCCAAAAATGGATTTCATAATTTGCAGGGCCGGGAAAACTTAAATAAAGGTTAAAATAAGAGATATTTAAAAATATTTCTATTTTTAAAATGGAAAATAATATATATTGATAACTAACATGAAGAAGATAATACAATAATTCGGGCCAGTAGTGAATGTATCTAATTTTTAAGGGATGTTTCGAAAAAAAATTTTTTTGTAGAATTAAACTACCTTAGGTTTTTCCCGGTTGTTTCCTTGAGTAATTACCAAGTTACGCTGAATGGTATATTTACAAGGGAAAAAACTTTCCGACATATCATCAGTTTAATTTTACGGTTGTAGATTTCAACCTGAGTAAATCAACTTTGATCGTTAATCAAATGAGGAAAAAGAGTACTACTACGCGAATCTGCTACTGACAGAAATCAGAAATATTGTGCAGAGAAATCTGTATTGAAGAATACTGAAAAATACTTGTTTTTTCGTCTTTTAAACCTACTAATGTCTTTTACAGATTCTCCAGTCAAGTTTTGATGTTTTATGATAAATGGTAACCAACTTTCTCTTTTCTTGATCCGTTGCTTGACTCTCTGTTCCTCAAGGTCTGTCCAATAAAATAGGACAAATAACAAACACAAATACACCGAAATGAGATAAAAACATGATCGTCCGGTTAGCATTCTCACTACCCCAGAGTACTCGATATTCGTAGTGGTAATTTAGAATATGTCCCTCCATTCGCGCTAATAAACTACATTCACAGACCAGACTTCGTTCCCACTACCCCCGGGTATGCGATATTCCTCTGGGTTTTCGAGGAGCCCCTTCATTCACACTAATAAATTATGTTCACACATTCATTCTCACCACGGGGGCGTCGGTGACCGCAACTGTTAAGGCACGACGCTAATCATTGTAAGGTAACGGTTCCATGTTCGAAACCAGTGGCCCTGCATTCGAACCAGACGTACTTAAAATGGGCTTTTTTTGCAAATTCACCGACACTCCGAGGATTGATAAGACCTCTGCTATTGCGAACCCTTACACAAAAATATTGTCACTATAACAGATTACTAGATATTCCTCGGGGTAATTGGGAAGCCTCTTCATTCATATTAATAAGTTACATTCACACATTCTTTCTCACTAGCCTAGAGTACTCGATATTCTTGGGGGTAATTGGCGGATAAGCCCCTCCTTTCACGCAAATAAATACATTCTTTCCAATAAATAACATATATCACATACATCAAAATACTTTTGTTAAACTAAATACAACTCTAAATACAATTAAAATATTTATGGCCTGAGATATTGGACAGTGATCCGTGCCTCCTGCCGTTCTTCAAGGCACAATGCTTGTTTATTATTTGTGCTTGATAAATAAATGTTTATTTTTTTTCTTCTATTTTCGAGTTTGTCTAATTGTAGATATTTGTGAACTTACGATATTTTGAAGAGGAAGCTCGAAAGGATTCGAAAATGCATCAAATATGAATCCGTAAGAGCCTGGTTATTTTCGTTTCAATTAAAAACATTTCAAAGTTTTTATTCAGAATAAAAGTTTGCGTTAATGGTTTTAATTTGTGGATAATCAACCGCTAATGATTTACCATTAATTCTAAGCCGATCGAAACCTTTTCGAATTAACTATTTCCTCATATTGATGTCAGAGTGACCTGAAATCTCATTTCGGGAAACATTTCGTTCCAATTAGATCAATTTTGGTATGGATTGGTCTATTGTTTATTTCAAACATTTAAGCTCAATTCAATTATATTGTGTTTAACAACTACTTTATTATTTAACATAATGAATCGAGAGATGTTATATATCTATCGTAATTTTTAATGCTATTATCTATGTTTTTCAAGCAGTCTGAATTGTACATTTTGAAGATGTTTTATGAGATAACAAATTGTAATATATAATAAGTTCATTAGATTTCGTGGTCCGATTGACCAATTAACATTTTTCAGTTAATTGATATTTATAAAAGGTATTGGCTGAGATAAAAATGTCAGTGTCACGAGCGGGATTCGAACCCACGACCTTCGGCTAAATACGCCGCTGCTCTACCACTTGAGCGATCGTGACTTTGATCCACTAGGACACATTAATTTTTTATCTCAACCAATACCTGGTAGAGCCGCGGCGTACTCAGCCGAAGGTCGTGGGTTCGAATCCCGCTCGTGACATTGCCTTTTTTTCTCAACCAGTACCTTACATAAAGATTTATTAATTGAAAGTATATAATAAGGTTAGCAACTCAATATTAGTTATATCATTATCTTGATTATCCTTTACAAATACTTTGCATTTGCATGCCAATGATTTATCCATTACGGTGATACACAATATTACTTTTTTTTTATTCTTCGTCGGCATACATGCTATTCTTAAGAAGCTTTCATTCACTTTGAAAACTCTGGCGGTGAATAGGACAGGGGCGTTATGGGATAAGTCTGGTGTTCAAAAACGCAACATCCATTTTCTTATATATAAAAAAAGAAAAAAAACGGTCGAAAGCACTGAGAATGATTCGGAAATCCGCTTAGACATGTGTTTCACTCTAACGGTATAAAGTGCGATAGCCGGTGGAAAAATAAAAAGGGGGAAAAAGAAGTTTCTCCTGAAACATTCATTACCCGCAGCGCTCTATATAAAAGGCCTAATGAATATTTATGGCTCCTTTAAATATTCAATAAACTGTCAACGTAACCCGTTTTTGCTACTTTTTATTTTTAAAAAAATCCTGTCCCCAAGATTCCAAATAAGCATAGATTTTTTTACAATGCCCGACAAAAATAACTGAAATACATTTTACAGAAAAAAATTAAAATTACAAAATACCTAAATGGAAATACAGATTGGGAGGTGTGTTGAGAGGTAATACTGCGGATAAGATGGTATGTTAGTCGGTATAAACATGAATGAGAGATGCATTAACAAGTGTAGCCAACATGGTTGATGACGAAAGGAGGCCAACTGGTTCTTCTTTTAGCATTGAAATTGAATTTAACTAAATATAACTACCCAATGTAATAACGCAATGTAAAGCAATTAATCAAATTTGAATTTGCAAATTAATTGGCAGAGGGGAGCAGTAAAGCGCTTTCTTCTATTACAAAATGAGGCATGAGTCAAATCATGATACATGGCGCGTTTTTATCAGCAAAGTTCACCACCCTTGTTATTTAAGAATATATCCCACTGTAGCGAACTTTAAAATATTATATTAAAACGAAAAGCGGTGACAAAAGAGCGTTAAAAATCAACGGAAATAGGTTAACTCACCTTTCAGCGATTCCACACAGAGATTCTTCTTGTTTCGGCTTCGAGGGGTGGCACTCGCGTGGTAGTCGGCATAACAAAAGGTGAACCAGGTAAACAGGAAGAGACAAGAAAGAAAAGGGCGGTAGAAAGAGAAGAGAAAGTCAGAAAATTATAACAGATGAGCGGTCGGTTCAGATGGCGCGCGAAATATCTTTTTCTTTCGGGAAGGGGCCCACGAAATTAACACCGCGAA